TTGAAAGTCTGGCTATAAATATAGTGATTAGATGTGGGCTTTTTTAATTCTTACTTTGAATGTTGGTAGGGAGAAGCCACTGATCCAAGGATCTCCCAGATCTATTGCTTTATCCAGTGAATTATGTGAATTAACATGGTGTTTGATTAATCTTTGATGTATGTTTTATTTAGGGGAAATCTTGTCTTTTTGCATGAAGTCAAAGTGGCTTCAGGAATGGACGATGTACATTGGATTCTGTCATTAAGATTGGAAACAGATGTAAGGAAGGATTCTGCAAAGTTTGGATATTTGCTGCCAATATTTATTGACTTCAAAAAGGCATATAATATAATGTGGTGGGAGGGTTTGTTTACTAAATGTTGTGGGAAGGAGATTAAAGGCAGCATGTATGAATGGCTACAGCACTTTCTCAGTGAGCAGTTTATCTAGGTGAGGATTGAAGGAAAAATTTCGTAGTAAATATGTACCTAAAGCTGATTCCTCTTAAGGGTGACATTCATTATAAACTAGGTCTGGCGGCTTTGCATAAGCTTCCATAGTGCAGGAATTGATTCTAATCTTTATTGAAATCAACTCTCTGGTAGTTTGATCGCTCCTCTTTTCCATATAATAGTTGTGACTTCGCTAAATATGTATAGAATTATTTTCAGTATCTCAGTATACATGGATGATACGGCAACTTGGTGTCCTGTAATAATGTATGAATATTATATGTTCTTTCTGTCTACTTGACTGTTGTAAAGGAGGTACTCTATGGATACAAGGCATTAATTCAAGCAAGGGTTGGTTGTATATTGGAAAAAGGACAGTAGCTTCAGATAGCCACCCATTTACCTACAGCTGAGGGACAATGCTAGCATTCATTTTGATGTCCTGCTTCTGACCCCCATTGAGCTCAATGGAGCAGTTTGTAAACAAAGAAGAACCAAAGAGCTGGAAACATAAGACAAAGGGCTGGGGGTTAGGGGGAGGGATAAAAGTGACATTCTTGAAGGAGAGGGATTGTGAGGAGTTGCTGGTGAGAAGCGGTTCTCACAGACACACCTCCCAGAGGTCTGGGGTCTGGAGTAATGAGGGACTTGCCTAGGGTCTCTGCCAAGGGATGGCATGGCAAGCCTATAGGTAAGATAGACATGCATACAGGCTTTTGGTGTTTTAAAATTCTTTCTCTTATGCTAAGCTTTGTTCCTAGTGCAGAAAAACATTATTTTATTTGTAGAAAGCTACCTGGGTCACAGAACTTGCCATTGGTCGCAGCTCCTGAAGGGAAGATCCATTCAGATGAGCGCAAGGTACAGTAGCCCAGGGCCTAGTCTAAGAGTAGAAACCTATGAACATTATTTATGACATCACAGAAGAGATTCAAACTCAAAGAGCGTAGTTCTGATTTGATTTGTAGTAAACAAGCATAACAACATTCATTTCAGCACAGTTACTCCAGATTTACAATAACGTGAGATCAAAATTAGGACCACTAGGTTGAAAGCTTGAGAGTTTAGTAATAGAAGCTGAGGATGAGGGTGGCTTATTGGGAAACTAGTTTGGGGAATATATGAACTTATTTTGTAAAGAGGAAAGTTTTTGGGGCTAATTCTGCTGGGTCACTTCTATAACATGTCTATTTTTGTCCCCAGTTTAGTAACTTGGAATGAAAATACTACATAAGTGGCCTAGAAATGACACTTTCTAACCAACTTAGTTCCCCTTTGCCCAGAGAAAAGCTGAGTTGTTGTATTAATCTGCTATTTTGAACAAAGTTTTTCTTTTGTAGCAACAGCAGCTGTTACCATAACATCTGACTTCCAGGTTGGAAGGAGCAGGAGAGGCAAGTAGCCTAGAACCCACCTAAGTGTTGCTTCTGGAGTTAGCAAACAAAGGTGCAGCAGAAACAAAAAGTAATTACTCAGTACTGGTTGCGGTTGATATAGGTCTTGATTTTGCACATACCTTTCAGCACACAACAAATTCTGTAATGAATAGCTTCATAGGGAGTATCTGGGAGCTTAGGGCTCATAAAAGGATGGTTTCCCCACATACACTTCCCCCTCCCACCAAAATAAATGTTAATGAAGGAACTGGATGGGTGAAAGGATTGGTAATAGCTTACAGAACTCTCCATCTTCAAAGTCACCAATAAAACTAGATGAAAACTTTCCATCAAAATGTCTTTTCAACAGAAAATGGTTTTTCAACAAAATGGAAACTGTCAGGAAGAACTTTCAGTTTTCAGCCAAAAAAAATCAGGTTTTCACTGAAAATGCCAAAAAACGAAATTCAGTTTTTAATGAATTTTTTTTCACTGGGTGGAGGGAATTATCATTTCCCAAACAGCAAGTTGCCCAGCTTGAGTCCCAGGCCAATGGTAATTGAATGTTGCTAGAATCAAACAGCAGCTTAAATTAATTTGGTGGTCACTCTGATGCACCCACATATCATCTCTGAACTGGATCCCTGACATGAAAGTTTGAGAAACAGAAAAGTTCTATGTATTATTTATAATTACCTAATTATATTATATTAGGTACCATAAGCAAGACAATTAGAGGACCAAAATTCTTACTTTTTACTTTTCTAGCAGGATTTCCCTACCCCTTCCACCAAACCATGTTCAACTGTAATAATTGAGAGTATGGCAGGTTTCCTGGGGGCAATATTGTTTCTCTATCACTGAATTCTGGGTGTTTACCCAAAATTCTGAGCTTCCAGGCTTCAAGTGTCTTTGCGGAACTACCACTTGGGAAATTTCTACGCAAACAGTGTCAACTATTGGAAAATAACATTAGGAAATCCTCTGATATGTTGTTAACCTGTTTAATTGTGGCTGTGCAGCTGGAAACAAGGCCAGGCAGCTCAGTGTTCCAATGTGATCCCTTTCAGCCAGCTGCATTTGCTCCGTGACTATACTAAGATTATTGTTGGACTCCTCTTATCAGAAGCTGTGGTGAAATGGCCTTTTTAATTTTGTTAGCGAGAGTAAGGTACTGTGTTCTTTGGAGTTCCTCATGGTTTTCCTTACAAGGGCAGAGTTAACGTTGTGTGGGTGTCCTGTCAGATAAATGTAACCTTAAAGATGCACAGTCAACCTGTGGAACTCCTTGCCAGAGGATGTTGTGAAGGCCAAGACTATAACAGGGTTAAAAAAAGAGCTAGATAAATTCATGGAGGATAGGTCCATCAATGGCTATTAGCCAGGATGGGCAGGGATGGTGTCCCTAGCCTCTGTTTGCCAGAAGCTGGGAATGAGCAACAGGAAATGGATTACTTGATGATAACCTGTTCTGTTCATTCCCTCTGGGGCCCCTGGCATTGGCCACTTTCTGAAGACAGGATACTGGACTAGATGGACTTTTGGTCTGACCCAGTATGGCCGTTCTTATGATGTTTTTTCCCCTCATGTTTGATGTTTATAATTTCAATTCTAAAACTCTGTACGGGATGTAGATGTGGATGTACATGGCAATAGAGTGACTTTCACTCAACATTCCCTGCTTTTTGACATTTGGATTGAGGGATTTAAGCTCTCACTTTTGAGAAGAGTATGATGCCCACAAGGCATGGTTATGGGACTGCAACTACTAACTCCACCACCATAAAGTATTTTGTGTTTTCTGAATATGAATCCTTCTGGTGCTGTCAGACACCATTTAAGGGATGAACAAGGCTTTGCCATCCCTGTCTATCCCACTGTTTGTTGGAATGACTACGGCCACATCTACGCTACAGCCACAACAGTGGCACAACTTTGGTGCTGCAGCTGTGTGCTGCTCTAGTGCAGACGCTTTCTACATAGACTCATAGACTTTAAGACCAGAAGGAACCACCATGATCACCTAATCTGCATGCTGCAGGCCCCAGAAACTCACCCACCCATGCCCTAACCTCTGGCTGAGTTACTGAAATCCTCAAATCATGATTCAAAGACATCAATGGAAGGCATTCTTCCATCAAGGTAGCTGATCCACCTCTCTGACCTAGCCGTGCCTACACCAGTGGTTTAGGTCACCTAACCACCCTTGAGTAATACAGTAGCCAGAAGCAGTTGCATCTGAAGAAATGGGGTTTTTACCCACAAAAGCTTATGCCCAAATAAATCGGTTAGTCTTTGAGGTGCCACCGGACTCCTCGTTGTTTTTGTAGTAGCCAGAGCAACCTACGTTTCTGGCATAGACCAGCCCCTCCTTGTCATGTTTCTGGAAGTTAACTTTTTCTTACGAGGAGGACAAGGTTGGCAACCCAACACCCCACCCCAGCCTGGAGGGCAGGACGGCTGCTTCTCACCTCCCACCCTTTGGAGCTGGGTGCGATCTCCATTGGGCACAGCCACGGGGCCACCTGCGTCCCCACCCTGAGAAGGGGCAGCAGCGCTCCCGCGCTCCCTGCGCAGCGCCCGAACAATTCCAGGGGCTGCAGCAGCAGGAGACGGAGCCTGGCGACGTCACCAGCTCCTCCCCTGCATCCCCCAGTGTGGGCCTTGCCCCGCCCCCTGCGCGCGCCAGGCTGCCCGGGCCGGTGGTGCGCGGCGTCCCCGGCTGCCTCTGTGTTGCGGCCGCGCGCGGGGAGCAGGGGCGCGAGCCGGGCCCGGTGCAGAAAGCGGGCACGCACGCGCGCGCTCCTCCTCCTCCTCCCTTTCACACGCTCGCGCAGGTGCCGGGCCGCCCCGCTCCGCTCCCCGCCGCCGGGCCGGCCCCCGGCGGGATCTCAGCGCGTCTCCGGGAGGAGCTGGGGCCCGCCGCGGCGACTGGGATAGAGCAGCCGCAGCCGCGCCGCCCCGACCCACGTGAGGAGCCGAGACGGGCCATAAGCAGCAGAAGCCAGGAGCCACGGCCGGCAGGAGGCGCCCCTCTGCCCCCGGGGCTATTGCTGCGCCGCTGCTCGGAGCGCTCGCTGCCTGCGCCCGGGGCTGCCGTGCTACCCCCCTTCTCCCTCCCCGCGTGAGACTCCCTCTTCCCTCGCCCCCCTGCGCCCCCCCCTCGCCCTACACCGCCCCTGCGGTGGGCAGCTGCCCTGGTTATCTTGGGGGGGACAGGGGGCGCTGCAGCCCGCGCACGTGAGCCCTGCGGGGTGGATGTGCCGCGGAGGAGGCGCCGAGCCAGCCCAGCCTTGGCTTTCGGGGGATGCCCAGCAGGGCAGCGATGACTTGAGGCTGCGCTTTGCCATGGATGGGATGACCTGCTTCATGGTTGCTTTGGTGACGCTGGTGTTCTGGTGCCCGGGTCAGCCTGGGTGCATCGCCCGCCGCCCAGCCCTGGGAACGGGTCTCCCGGTGCTGCTGCCTCTGCTGCTGTCCGTGCCGGCCTTCCTGGGCTCCCCGATGGCAGGTAAGGAAACAAAAGGGAGCCGAGGCTTCATCCGTGGGCTGCTTTGCCTTGCACAGAGCAATGCTGTGCCAGGTTGCCTTGCCCATGGTTGCAGGTGTGGTCCCTATGGGGAGTGCTGTACTGAGGCGTCTTTGTACTGAGGACTCATGGCAAAATATGCCAGGGCTCTAATTTGTTCTGTGCCATGTACCAAAGGCCTCTGTGAGGTTGTGTTCTAGGCTATTTTGTGACTGATACTTCACTTTAAAAAAAATCTTAGAGCAATACTGCAAGCGCTTTTGGGATACAGGTTTGTCCCCCTCTCCCAGAGAGGACCGTGTTTATGTTAAAGGTGAAAGAGGGGAGAGAAACAGTATCTAACTACACTTGAATATGGTCATTCCTGTTCTACTGTGCCAAAACCCTCCTGCTTTGTGTACTGGGAAGACTGAAAGCAAGTCATTGTAACAAATCTCTGTACAGGGAATTTAAAAATAGTTTTTGGAGATTAAAAAGAGAATGTGCTCCCCAAAAGGTTTTTTTGGAAAACATTTTTTTTTTTAATTTTAAGGCATAATTTCTTAAAATGAGCAGATAGCCTTATTTAAAGCGAGGTAGCTGAGTGACTGCCTATTAGCATAGAATTAAGGATGTAATTCATATGGAGTAGTGTCGATTTCCCCCCATCCTTCTAAATCTGTCTGGTAATCAGGTGTTTCAGTCTTCTATGATGTCATCTGAAAGCTGATGTGCTCTTGGAGTCCATGCAGCGAATACATTTCCCACAACTTGCATGCTTCTGGAGGGATTGTTGGGCAGTCTGTGCATGCGTGTTGTTGTTGTGTTTTTGTTTTTTTTAAATGTACTTGGATATCCTGAATAGTATTGACATTTGGAAATGTCACAGCGTCAATCTGTAATAGCATTTGCAGGATTCCAGATATATTGTTTTGTTTTCTGAGTGGAACCACAAAGTGATGAAATTAGAAAACCTTGCCTAGTATGCAACTATTTTTAAAACAAACAAAAAATGTAAACATAGCAGTGAGACGACAACCGTCTGAAGCTGATTACTGTTAATACTTTATATGGAAAATTAATATTTTGTCAATGCTTAAATTGCCAAGGACCTGGGTTTTTAATCCATTTTTGGCTCTAGCGGTTTAAATGAAACTGTAATGTAGTTGTTAAATTATATTACAAAGATGTGTCATACACACAAACTTCTTATTGTATCACTTTTATCAGTAGAAACTTGTGCCTACTTGAATCAACAGATGACATTTCATAAAACAGACACCTTGTGTTGATGTATATTTTTGTTGAAATCCAAGTTAAGATTTTTATTTAAACACCTTCTTAGGTGATAATGATAACATAATAAACAGTAAGACTTGCCTTAACCAACCACCCAATGGACCAGCCAAAGTTTGACATCTAGGAAAGGCTGATTTTCTTTTAATTAAGGGGTAGCAAAATTGAAGTGGCAATGACTGATGTATTTGTAAGTGTTGGATATATGTAAAAAACCCTTTTACAGATGGGAGGGTTACCCATTTTTGGTGATTCTCTGTGCATTTGTATATGTTCATTTATTGATTATCTTTATCTTTGATATTAGTTCATATTGTGGTATTGCATGTTTAAGGTCTAATCCAACTCCTTTTGCAGCTGGTGGGGGATTTTCCACTTATTTTACACAGTTGGATTGGACTCCCATGAAGGTTGAAAACTTCCAGTAAATTTCAGAGATGCTATATGTAGAATAGAGTTTAGGTATGATGTCTTTAGGGAGGTGTCAAAGCGGTCTTTTTCTAGAGGATAGTAAAAATATTTTTAGCTCCTTATGACTTTAGACAGTAAGTGGAGTGTTACTTTTGTTTTAATTAGCAGCCTTTAATTGCAATGTCTCGGGGCCTCTGGACATAATATTTGTGGTGCTATTTTTATAATTAAACCAGCGTCTAGCCAGTGGAAGCTAATACTCAGAGGACATGTGGCTCATTCACTGTGATGATTTTAATGTTAAAAGGTTTGGGGGTATTCAAAGAACACTGCAATAACAAAAATTAAGTTAGTCTGAAGTGCTTTATAAAAGATCAATACAGGAATCTGTCAACAACGTCTTATCCTTGTTCCCTACCCTAATCTTTGCTTTTGGTTTCACTAAAGAGTGTATGAAAACAAGAGAGGTGGTCATATGCCCCTATTAATATGCAGTAAACTTTGAGTATTCTCTTAGGATTACCTGACAGTAACACTGCTTCAGCATCTCTTATTGGGTACAAATTCTTCTGATTGTCAGTGGCATTCATTCTTTAATAGTTGAAGAGCCACTAAAGCAAATGTACCACATAAACTGTACAAGAAAATGAAATAACTGTTCTTTAGAGCAACTTGCCTACAATTGAAGTATCAAAGTGTAGATTACTTTTTCTTAATTTACTTTCTGCAAAACTCTGACTTCTGAAAACCAGGAAATAGAGTGTTATGATAAATGCCCACCCAACCTTAACTCTGCCCTCTTTGAGTAATACCCTATAACACACATACTCACTCTGCCTTTTCACTACAGTACACAGATGCTACCTGCACCTGGCCTACACTCAAACACTGAACCTATTTCCCCCTGACAGAATACCACACTTGTAAAATTTAACAGCCACTTCACACTCTTTTACAACCCCATCACAACTGCACATAGGATACCACTTAAACCTATATCATTCTCTAGCTATCATTAAACCACAGACTGCTTTCCTATCCCACCTAACTAATGACAATATCCATGGCAAGAAGATCCTAGGGCCCTTCTATTGACCCAAACTGCACAATTCTGTGTTGACATGATGCAGACTGGAACCTTAAAATACACATGCACCTCTTTTCTTTGATTCCCACACATTGGGGTCCGCAGGCCCAGATCTCTTCATATCACAGTCACAATTTGGCAATCCTCCTCAAATTAATCGCCAGATTTCCTCATATCACAATTGCACTTCCACCAACCTGCCCCAACTATTGCTTCTGCCATTCAGTTCAGCTTCATTTAACACCCTGAATGCAGCTGGAGTGCATGCAGATAATTCCCGGTGGCTATTGCCAGCTCCAGGGGGCAGAGTTAATGTGGTTATGTGTACCGTAACTCTGCATTTCCAGGTTTTCAGAAGTTGGAGTTTTGCTGAACTCAATATTCTGTAAGGGCATGAGCTATCAGTAAGAACCCTTAATTCTGTGCTTAGTGAGTTTTTTTGGCCATTTAATTATTACAAAAGTTAGGAATGAACTTTTCTCCATGAAGTGGGGAGAAGTCCTAACGGATCCTGTGCATTCAGGTAGCAGATTAGCAAAGAAGCAAACTTAGACCCAAACTTTAGTCATCTGTATTTCAGACTTCCCTTTCTCTGGAGGCTCCAGTATATTTGAGGTGCTAAACAGCAGAAATTGGGACACTTGAGTGAAACATGTTTGAATGCTCACTTAAAAATAAAAGAGAAATGAGGGTTCAAGAGGGCCCAAGTTAAGTTTAAAGCTGTTTGGTGCCTATTAATGTACATCTGAAAATAATATAAATGTGCAGATCATCTCATAGAAGGGCATAATTTAGAAATAATGACACTTCCTATTGCTCGTGCTCAGTATGCTGCAATTTTCAAATGCTTCCAGCCTTTTTAGAAATCAGACTTTCATGGATGGTGCTCTTGATTGAGGACTACTTGCTTGCTAAATTAAAAAGGTAAGCTGTTGAGGGTGTGTGTGTGTGCTTTGTAGCAGAAAGAGGAATGGTCCCCCCACAAAAAAGCCTGAAGATAGTTTGACAATTTCAAAACAAACGTTTTTGTATTTTGTAGAACAGCAGACTTAACTTACAGTATAGTAAGTTCTGATCTTACGGTATAGCAAGATGACATTTTTGGCCTCTATTTACTGGGATGTAAATGTTTCCAAGGAGAACGGGGTGGCCGAGTGGTTGAAACACTCTCCTTTTGTGTTTCTGACTATGTCTTAAACTTTGATTGTAAATGAAATGAGTTTTGTGTGTGCAGCTTCCCATGGGCAGCACTCTAAATCACATAACTATTGCACGTGGTTTGGCACAACTTGGCAGTGTCTGGAGACCAAAATCGAGCATTTATTGAGGAGGTCCCTGTAGGCTTGAGATAAGAATATTGGTGTGGCAAAAAGGGAAGCTTGCATGTCAGCTGCCCTTGCTTCCAGTTACTTAACTTTCTCAAGTGCATATACTCATTTTAAATCTGGAATTAATGTTGCATCAGGGAAGCTCGTGTGTTATAGCTGGGATAGAAGTCATGCGGCACAAGAAGACATAAAAATCCTGATCCATGTCAGAAGTCTGGTTTGAAGATGTTTTCAGTTAAAAGCTGACAGTGACCTTATATCCTGTCCTTATGCTAAAAGATGAAACAGATTTGGGCTGCCAGCCATGGACTTCCAATTCTGCAAAGACGTAATATCTTCCATTCTTAAAGAACAAAAAAAAAGTTTCCTTTGTCTTTCCAGCATGCATGTGCTTTTTATAGTAACATAGTAAAAACTTATTTAAAGGCATATAAACTTAATTGCACTTCTATCAGAAAATGTTTTACCTAAGATTATTATAACTGAAAGAGGCTAGAGAATATTGTGTTTAAAGCTATCACTGGTCATAGAGAGGTAATATTCAGTCCTGGGTCATGGGCAGAGTGGAGAAACTCATATGGAGTGAAGAAAGAAGGAAAACATACCAGGATTTCTTTTAAAAATGGCAGTTGTTTGAAGTCTTCTGTGGGTTTGGACTAAATCCTGGTGAAACTGGATTAGTGGACAGAGGGCAGGTGAAAGAAAATCAGAGGTGCCTGTTAAATACAGTTCATCACACACAATCACCAACCACCACAAAAGTGGTGTACATATATTTTAAAATGTTTTTAGCAACCCTATACAGGTCTGTCACATCTTACGTGCATTTAACATGCACGATTTCAGCTTTACGCGATCGGCAAAAACAAAACAAAAGAGAA